GCTATTCGATTTATTCCAGCTTTTGCAGGAAACATTCAGCTTAAAGTAAAGTTCAGTAGCGACGCCTTACAATGCACATCTATATCTGTAAATGATATCATTGCTTTCAATCCAACTCTTAAAGTTGCATTTGCTTCAGATTCAAATTCACCGACAAATAAATTTGTTCCATGGAATGAACCATTCACTATGATAACGAAGGCAGTAGAAGCTAGTGGAACAGTTACTATTACAACTGTAACCCAGCAACTATTTCGAACAAAGATGGATTTTAATGAATGTTTCATTCATCCAAAGTCATTCTCTTTAGACCCTAACATTTATACAGAACTTGTAGAACATTATACAAACGAGGCTTTATGTTTTCCTGTTAAAGTTATGGATTGGATTCCTATGGACGGTTCATTCTCAAAGAATACAGATAGTTCAAGTGCAACATTTACAGCAGCTTATACGCCTATTAATGTTAAAAGTATTTGGGCACTATTTAGAAAGAAAGACAACTATTATGTTAATTTTGAGAACCCTAAGTTTAAATATCTTCAGCTTTCCATGGGAGCTTATGGAAATATGCCTGCAGAACCTGAAAAATCATATGGACCTGTATTTTATGAAATGGTTGCGAACGCCTGCAATACAAACAATGATATGATAGGATTTAATGAAGATGTTATGAGGTCATTGGTGGATGATGGTAGTGTGGAACATAAATGGGATAGCTATGACAACACACATTTCTTATGTGGTTTTCCAACAGAAGTGGACTTTTGCTTCCAGCAAGGTCAAACATCTACTGCTCCAATAACATACAAATTGTCTGTTAAAGGACCTATTGAACTAGCAACTGAAAACGTACCAAAGCCACTTATTGGATTTATGAGGGATTGTTGCTTTGCCATTCAGGTGCGTGCTAATGGCATCCCCATAATAAGATTAGATGACTATAACTTAGCTACGGACGACAGTGAGGAATAAAGGATGAACGTTTATTTTTAAAGCTTATAAATGAGTTCTTCATCAAGCTCTCGTGAACCTTCACCATCTATGAAACAAACTTTACCAAACGATTATGGAGCACCTATTGAATATTTCTTACGAGCTGCACAATGGCAAAGAGCAGTCTCACCAAGGTTAGGTGTTCCACCAGCTCCTGTCAAAAATAGCATTTGGTCAAGTCCTTATATAAGATATGGTCTCCCACTAGGTTTGCTAGCTACAGCAGGAGCAGTTATGATGTTGAAAAGAAATAAAGCAAATGTTGTAAATAATACTGAAGTAGCTGAAGTTAAACAAACTCCGACACCATCGCCAAAACCAGCGCCTTCACAAGCAAAACCTTCAATGACTCCTGAACCTATGGAAGTACAAACTCCTGTTCAAAAGTCAACTCCTAAACCGACTCCAACATTTAAACCAGAACCTACTCCTCAAATAAATCGTAAAACTCCTGCGTTTCCTTACTGAAAAAATAACGTTATTTTTATTTAATATTAAAATTTTTATTTGATTGAAATGACGACTAAAGTCACTGAAGCAATGAAACAAAAGTTTTTGGTAGAATACATTAAATCAGGAACTATTCCAGAAGGTTTTTACATTCATACTATGAAGGATGGTAGAGTTCAGTTTAGAAAGATAAAGCAACCATTAGATAAAGAAGGTATATTAAGGAAGATTAAACTTCATGAGGACAACATTGCTGAACTTAAGAAGAAGTTAGAAGAGTTGGAGAAAGGAAGAGAGTTATAAAGTAATGAATTCAACAGGGTGAAAAAAGAGGTGAAAAAAGAGGTGAGATCTCACCACTTCACCTAAATTTAAATGGATGTTTTCATACGTGTGGGAGTGGTGATATCATTTATTTTTAAGTTTATTTTTTATTTTATTTTTATATAAATGACGAAAACTATTGAGATAACAAACTACAACGGTCATGAGTTCAAGAATTTGTTCTTCGTTCCTCGTGAAAATACATTCTATCAGATACGAGGGAGAAAGGGTAAAGTTAGTTTGAGCGTTTATGAAGGAATGAAGAATGGAAAGTTTATACAAGCATACGATACAAACGGTAAGCGTGTTTCATTAGCTTTGTCAAAACTTACAGGTATAAACTATGACAGTGATTTTGACTCTGACGATTGGAGCGACAGCAGCGATACTGAAGAATATGAACTATTGTGTGAAGCACAGCAATGGGAAGAGTTGCAATACTTTTGTAAATGAGAACGTTTATTTTTACAGTAGTGAAGTCGTTTGTGAAAACGTTAGTGAGGTGAAGTGGTTGGCGGCTTTATAAATATTTAAGGTTAAGTTGGTGTTTGTGTTTGTGTTGTAAAATATACGTTAACGGTTTTGTAAAGTGTCAAATTCACATATCATGGGTAAGGAGGCTCGCAGTGCCTCCGTACACATGATATGTATACTAACTAAAGTCAAATGAATTTGAGTTCACTCAAAAACCAAATAACAGATGTCAAAAAGTCAAACATAGACATACAGAAACAAATAAGTGAAAACGAAAAGAAACTAGAATATGACAGACACACAAAGAAACTCAATGAGTTAAACGTAGAGAAAAAGAAGAAAGAAGAACAACAGAAAGAACTAAGTACAGAGGAATATGCGAAAAAAGTGTCAGAAAAAGCAGCAGAAGTAGCAAAAATGGAACAAGATGTTATAAATTTGAAAAACCATACTACTCAATATAAAGTACTGAAAGATGAAGAAATAAAACAAAAAGCCCTGAAGACATATATGGATAGCGATGAGTATAAAAAAGAAGTTGAAGCAAATGTAAAGGCAGAAAACTTTTACATTTGCAAAACCAAACCGTACAGTATGAAAACTTAGCACAAGAAAGTAAAAATAACGACGCAGCCATGCAAAGGGCAATGAAAAGCGCAGAATATATAAAAGCTAATAATGACTGGTTAGATGCCCAAGCCAACGCTAAAGCAGCCCAACTTATAGGGTCAATAAGGACAAAAATACAAGCGGATGAAGACAGTTCAAATGAAGCTTTAATGAATGCTGACTTTAAGAATGCCTTCGAAGCTCTTCATAGTAAGGTGAAACTAGTGAACGACTTCTCATCTGGAAAGAAACTGAAGTCTGAAGGTTTCGACAAAGAGTTAAGAGAAGTAGCACAAAATATGACGAAAATAACAGATGCAGCAACGAGACAGGCAGTTCAAAGTGCCTATGACGCCGTTAGAACAACTGTTGTGGAAAGTCAAGAAAAAGAGTTACAACAGACCAAAACAGACCTAGTAAATGCTTTCTTAAAAACGAAAAGTCAGGTAGGACATTATGCTGCAGATGGAACATATGTGCCAGCTGGTGGAACTTATATACCACCAAACCCTCCAAGAGAAGCACCTGCACCAGGACTACCTAAAACATTTACATCATCACATGGACACAGACACAGGCATGCACCACAACAACAACCAACACAACAACCAACAGTTCAAAATCCAGCACCACCACAACAACCAAAACCAACAGTTCAAAACCCTGCACAACAACCAACAGTTCAAAACCCTGCACAACAACCAACAGTTCAAAATCCAGCACCACAACCAAAACCAGCACAACAACCAACAGTTCAAAACCCTGCACAACAACCACAAACAGAGCAAGGACATAAAAGAAGTAGAGAAAAAGGAAACCAAGAATTCTTAAAAATGCTTAAGGAAGATTATGGTTACCCAGATACTCTTGACTTTAGTGACAGATATAAAGAAGCTATTAGAAAGTTCAAGGAAGGAAATACTGACCCGAACCTATTTAGCTTTATGGTTCAGCATCAAATGGGATATAATCTCAAACCTGGAAAATACAAGCTCGCAAAGGGATATGATTTAATAGCATATCATCCAAATGACATGAATGAATTTACTCCGAGATATTTGGTGTCAGAGCTAAATGATAATTCAACTCTCTTCATGAAACGCGTAAAAAATAGAGACGGAACGAAAGAAGAAAGGTTTATGAGTCCGGATGACTTAGATAGGGAACTTGTTAAAAACGGTCTCGGAATATATGAAATGCCAGCAGATGAGGTACAAGAAACTCCACAGGAAGAAGTTCAGATACAACCAGACATGGAAGAAATAGTTCAGCAACAACAGCTAGAAGAGCCTGAAGGAAACGAACAAATCCCTCCTTTGGAAACTAACTTCACAGAACTAGATGAAGATTTGGAACAGCCGAAAAATCTTGACCCTCAACAAGTGTATGCGGAGAATATGGAATCTTTCCAAGAGTCTAAGAAAAATTCGGCTGACATAGTAGAAGAATATCGAAAAATGTTCGCCGACATACAAAAGACTCCAACATCAGATGAAAATATTCAGCATAGAATGGAAGTACTGAAAGAAAATGTACGCAAATACAATAATCCTTTTTACTTACGACCATATAACGTTCAATCTTTGGCTGAACTCGGTGAAAATAAAAGGTTAAATTTCAACAAAACATATAGAAATGAAACATTGTTTAAAGTTCATTCAGAACCTAACCAATATGGAAACAAACCTACTTTTGTTTCTGCAGACTATGGAACTACAATGAGATGGGGTCATAAAGCTAATCCAGATAGGTGGTTCATAAACTTACAACCTCAATTCCAAGAAGTTGTAGACGCAATGGAAGTGAATGGTGAACCAGATATAGCTGGTATTTTCAGCGCGGCTTTAATGCCATTGAAAGATATGAAACATGCAGATATTTTGGACCAGTATGAAATGAACATGGCTGAGGGAAATATAACACCTGACGTTCTAGAACATTTATCTCAAAGAACTACACAGAACCATAGAGATGGTATATTTGGTGAAGAGTTTAGAAAGAGAGTTAGGGAGAGAGAAGGAAGAGAACCTATTGTACATGACCTTGCAAACGAAAGTTTGCAAAATGTCATAAAAACTTACTTTGCAGCCAATGAACCGAGAAGGGATGAATATTTAAGAAAACTCAAATGGACAGTACCAAATGAAATGTTAGTATTGAAAAACATGTTCCATGACAAAATAAAACCAACTACAGAAATAAATGATGCAAGACTGAAACGTTGGGTAAAAGCTTTCCCATTCACAAAAGATATTATTGGTTACATGGAAAGAAAACCAGAATGGCTACAAAAACATATATTTGGAAACGAGCTTATTCCATATGGACCAGCTCTGTTTGAAGAGCTTGAACCGGAAACTCAGGAAAGAGTCATGCAAACAATACGCGAAGACTCAAATACAAACTATGACAAAATCTTTCTAGGATATAGGTTACCTGAGATGGGCGACCAGAGCCCAAAGGCAAAAAGGACATGGGAAATTTACAACATACTAGGTGAACATGAGGCAAAGATGCAACAACTTGAAGCAGAGGGCAAGTTACCAAAAGCGACACCAAAGAAGAAGAGAAGAGTAGAACAAAGTGAAAGTAGTGAAGAAGTAACTTCATCTAGTGAAAGTAGTGGCAATGAAGGAAAAAGAAGAGTTAAAAACTCAGTCAGGAAGAAAGTAAAGCTTGGTCCGAGTGGGTTCTATTATGATCTATAAATCCAACTATTCTATATTTTTACCCATATGAAATGTACGCCGCTCAGAATATAACGCCAACCGTTTTGGATGCCATGAACGGAAATGTTTCCGAATGGTATAACGAATGCGACAATGCCATTAGAAGGTCAGAAATAGTTCCTGGAACTTACGAATATACAACTGCTGTTTCTTATGGAAACGTAGGTGAGTTTGGAGAAGGTTCTGCAACAACAGTAGATATTGCTTGCGACAGGTTTCATATTATTTCTATTGACAACTCATTCTTATACGTGGAACAAGACATTGAAATAAAACCTTCTGCCAAGTTGTCTGACAAGAAAGGTTGCAATGGAATTTTCTATGTCGGATACCAATATGCTCCAGAAGTTTTCATGGGATATAAGATATATTCTAACTCTGACTTAGTTCAAACAGTAACATGGGCAAACTATGAATGGTTCGCTTTGAGAAACTCAGTACAACCACAAGCTAGAGAACAAACAGACCAGTATGCAACTATTGAGAAAATAAGAAGACTTGACCCTAACGTTCCAGGAGTTTATGTTAACCTTTCTGGACAAACTGCAGCAGCAGTAACCAAAGTAAAACTGAAACTTAGAGTTCCTTTGTCATCTTTCCTCATCTTCAGGTTTTTAAGATACTTGCCAAACTGGGCAGGAAAAATTTCTATCGAACTTACTCCAAGCAAAAATAACTTAGTCATTGCACCAACACAAGACCCATTCAGCATTACTGTAGCTGGAACTGGTGGAGCCAAGTTCTGTGACTTTTGCAAAGACAAAGTTGACTTAGACTTTGGTTTCTCAAACCTCAACACTGAAGTAAACTATTATTTCAATGCTGCTGGAGATGCTTGGGACCCAGTTAAGTTCACATGCGAACAGTTTGAATGCAAGAGAATAGAAAGCAGACTTGCCGTTTATATGTTAGTTAGTATCCCTAAGTTGTGTACTGTGGCACTGCGCGCCTCCGTACACCACTTAGCGGTTTTGACACTTAACGAAACCGGTAACGTATATTTTACAACACAACCATAACACCAACTTAACCTTAAATATTTACAAAACCATCTGACACATAAACGACTTCACTAACGAACTCACTAACGAATTCACTACCGTCCTCACTAAATAAAAAATAACCTTATTTTTATTTTTTTTTAAATTTTTTATTTCATTACAAAGACATGTCCGACTACATTTACTATGACTCTTTCCCAGAACGTTTCCGTGAACTATTCAAAACTCAAGTAAAACTGAGAAACATGCATTTTAACAAAGACAGACCCATTGACGATGAAAGAAACCCTGAATATATTACAATCCATTATGATGCTAAATTTATTGCATACATTCCTTATGGTCGAGAGGAACGAAAACTATTTCAACAATGACGAAAAATTATTTCTGGAGCGATGAAGAAAATTGCCTTATCTACATAAATGCATACTTAAATAAAGCTACATATTGTACAAAAGAAGGTTGGACTGGATTTGAGCTCTACATATACGACGACGATGGAAACAGACGTTGTGTATACCCATACGATAATATGTACCATTGTTTTCATCAAGCATTAAACGAATACATAGTCAGTAAGGGTCTCATTCCTGCTGAGTAGAAATGCTTTATTTTTGTTCCATTTATTTAAAAATAAATGATATCACCACCCTCACACGTATGAAAACATAGCACAAAAATAAATTTAGGTGAAGTGGTGAGATCTCACCTCTTTTTTCACCTCTTTTTTCACCCACTTGAATTCATTACTTTATAACTCTCTTCCTTTCTCCAACTCTTCTAACTTCTTCTTAAGTTCAGCAATGTTGTCCTCATGAAGTTTAATCTTCCTTAATATACCTTCTCTATCTAATGGTTGCTTTATCTTTCTAAACTGAACTCTACCATCCTTCATAGTATGAACGTAAAAACCTTCTGGAACCGCTCCTGATTTAATGTATTCTACCAAAAATTTTTGTTTCATTGCTTCAGTGACTTTAGTCGTCATTTTACTCTAAATAAAATGTTCAAATAAAATAAAAATAACATTATTTTTTCAGTAAGGAAACGCAGGAGTTTTACGATTTATTTGAGGAGTAGGTTCTGGTTTAAATGTTGGAGTCGGTTTTGGAGTTGACTTTTGAACAGGAGTTTGTACTTTCATAGGTTCAGGAGTCATTGAAGGTGTTGTTTGTGAAGGCGTTGGTTTTGACGTTGGTTTTGGCGATGGTGTCGGAGTTTGTTCAAATTCAGCTACTTCAGTATTATTTATAACATTTGCTTTGTTTCTTTTCAACATCATTACTGCTCCTGCTGTAGCTAGCAAACCTAGTGGGAGACCATATCTTATATAAGGACTTGACCAAATGCTATTTTTGACAGGAGCTGGTGGAACACCTAACCTTGGTGAGACTGCTCTTTGCCATTGTGCAGCTCGTAAGAAATATTCAATAGGTGCTCCATAATCGTTTGGTAAAGTTTGTTTCACAGATGGTGAAGGTTCACGAGAGCTTGATGAAGAACTCATTTATAAGCTTTAAAAATAAACGTTCATCCTTTATTCCTCACTGTCGTCCGCTGCTAAGTTATAGTCGTCAAGTCTTATTATTGGTATGCCTGACTGTCTTACTTGTATTGCAAAGCAACAATCCCTCATAAATCCAATAAGTGGCTTTGGTACATTTTCTGTTGCTAGTTCAATAGGTCCTTTAACAGACAATTTGTATGTTATTGGAGCAGTAGATGTTTGACCTTGCTGGAAGCAAAAGTCCACTTCTGTTGGAAAACCACATAAGAAATGTGTGTTGTCATAGCTATCCCATTTATGTTCCACACTACCATCATCCACCAATGACCTCATAACATCTTCATTAAATCCAATCATATCATTGTTTGTATTGCAAGCGTTCGCAACCATTTCATAAAATACAGGTCCATATGATTTTTCAGGTTCTGCAGGCATATTTCCATAAGCTCCCATGGAAAGCTGAAGATATTTAAACTTAGGGTTCTCAAAATTAACATAATAGTTGTCTTTCTTTCTAAATAGTGCCCAAATACTTTTAACATTAATAGGCGTATAAGCTGCTGTAAATGTTGCACTTGAACTATCTGTATTCTTTGAGAATGAACCATCCATAGGAATCCAATCCATAACTTTAACAGGAAAACATAAAGCCTCGTTTGTATAATGTTCTACAAGTTCTGTATAAATGTTAGGGTCTAAAGAGAATGACTTTGGATGAATAAAACATTCATTAAAATCCATCTTTGTTCGAAATAGTTGCTGGGTTACAGTTGTAATAGTAACTGTTCCACTAGCTTCAGTTGCCTCGTTATCATAGTGAATGGTTCATTCCATGGAACAAATTTATTTGTCGGTGGATTTGAACTGAAGCAAATGCAACTTTAAGAGTTGGATTGAAAGCAATGATATCATTTACAGATATAGATGTGCATTGTAAGGCGTCGCTACTGAACTTTACTTTAAGCTGAATGTTTCCTGCAAAAGCTGGAATAAATCGAATAGGTTCTAATGGAAGGAATCTTCTAACAGGAATTCTTAAACGAAGCTTAAAATCAAATGATTTTCCTGCTGTAATTGGACCACAACAATTTGTCCTGTTCTGCATGTTCCCGAATGACTCCATACATCTTTATGTCGAGTCTTTGAAAAAACATCGACTTTCTTTATTTGTTCGGTAGTTTGTGAGTTTGAAGTTATATATGCTTCTTCTCTTGCGTTGTCTTGAGAATATACGATACGACCATTTGCAAGGATTTGATATCCAGCAACTGCATAGAAAGCGTCATCGAAACCAATCCAAAATCCTGGTGGGTTTGTTTTATTGGAACCTGAACCAATTTCTTTATCTACAATAAATTGACCTTCCATTTTATACGTAATGAATGTATTGTAAAGGTCCAACATATTTTCACCAGGAGGTGAGAGATTGAATGTTACCCATGTGTTATCTTTAGCAGTTCCAGGTTGTGATGGAATCTTTGCGTCAGAATATTTTCTATTAGTGTCACCAATTTGAACTGCATTGTCTATGATATCGAAATATGAGCGAATCTGATGAATATGCTCTGCTGGAGTAAATTCGTTTAACTGTTCGTTCTGCATGTATTTACTTCAGATAAAAATATCTATTTACTTCATTATTCTCACTCTTCTTCTTGGTATTCGTGGTGGAAGTTGTTTCTTGACATTTTCAATGAACTGTACATTCTCTTTTGTCTCAACTTCTTTCACTGGTGGGTCAGGGTTCTTTGACTCGGTTTGCTTTTCAATGAAATTCACGAACTTTGCAATAAGCTCTTGGTTCGTTATTGAAAGTACATCTGGCTTCTTTTCTTCTTGTTCTTTTGGTGGCTCAGTTTGTACAGAAGGTTTTATATGGGCTTCGCCCTCGGTGCCATGCACCTTAATGTTGTCGCTCTCTGTATTCGCTAATGGAACCTTTCTTTTTCTTACATATATTTTACCATCTTTACTCTGACTTACATAATAGAAAGGATGTTGTATTCCTCTGGCGTCATTTAATATAATAGACTCTCGTTCTGATTTTGACAAGCTCATTTTACATCGGTTAAAGTTTTAATTTAGTTTTTTATCTACAGTCAAATGACTCAGTCAAATCCTACGGACAAGACCCAAGGGGTCATAGATGTTGAAGCATTGAAGAAAGAAATTCGTGAACAAATTTTATCCGAACTGAAGGAACAAAAACCAGAACAAAAGCCAGAGAGACCAAAGAGAAAACTTAGTGAAAAACAACTAGCTGCATTAGCTGCTGGAAGACAGAAGAACCCACGTTTGCTGGCGAAAAAAGCTAGAGAAGAAGCAAAAGCAAAGGAAGAACAAAAAGCAAAGGAAGCTGAAGCAAAGAAAGAGTAAATGGTTTATTTTTATCCAAACTAAATGTATAGACAAATACCTTTATCTGTTGCGTTCAGTAGTGAAAACCCTGACGTCAAAATAAAGGGGAAGAG